AAATAGCTTTCTAAAATGTCATGATATGCACCCGTAGTGAAAGGGTTAAAACTTTCATTACTTACTAGAGCACTGACTCCAGTCAATACTCAGTAAAATCTCATTGGAAATGGAATCTTTTACCAAAATAAATTAATATAAGAATGACAATCATATAATCCACAAAATGGACTTTCTATAAGGTATAAATATATATCACTGAGAAGTAAGTATGATTAAATAAGTATTTTTAAAGGAAAGGAGAGTTGAGAGGAGCTTCTATGGTGAATGTAACAACTTTATTGATATCTCAGAAAATAAAAGTGGTAGGAAGTTCTTATTTTAAATTCTGACCAGTTACTATCTATAGCTGGTGTTTCTATTTGGTAGAGATTTTGAAACCCATATCAGGGAAGAAAAAAAACCTAAAGTAGAGAATTCAAAGGAGATTGGTATCAAGTGACACAGAAGAGTGAAAATTCAGAATTTATTTAAATACTTCCTTTAAAAATTAAGACATTAAACTGTAAAATATTAAATTTGGGATGTAATTATTTAAGAAGGTCATGATATGCACATTTCTAACCCTGCACATGCACATATGGTTAAACACAAATACCAACATGGTCACAATAAGTCTTACAGCTAACTTCTCTGTTCAGTTCAGTAATTATTTTCATCTCATTTTAATTATTTATGTATTTGACTGTTTGGATTTCCCAGCATTAAGCAACAAAAACTGAAAGCAAATTCTACAGGCTCACATTTTTAAATACATTAGTGAAATGAACATATATACATATCCTTGTTTGGACACATGCATCTGCACAATATCTAGAAAAACATTCACATACTAGTATATAAATTATACAGAGTATGTGGGCAAACAAATAACTTTAGATTTACTACCCAAGGTTTACAAAAACCCAAACCTAAATTTATATGATTACAAACAAAAGCTGGAAAAGCACAAGTTTAATCTATTACACAAATTTAAAAAAATACCATACAAGGTAAGGCTGCAAAAATCACTGGCACTACTTCTGCCTGAAAAAATCTAAAAGCTATCCCCTTGCCCTTAAAATAAAATAGCTTCCTACTGATTAGAAAAATGAAAAAGTAAAATTACTCCTAAGCATCGTTGATCCATTTTGTGTTATCTTCAGCAACAATCTCACGGGATCATATCACATCATCGCACATAAATTAAATCTGCCAATAAATTACTGTCTACCACACACTAACTAGGTCATAATACTGAACAACCAAAATTCAGCAAATAGTTTTTGAGTGGATTATCCAGGAAAATTTTAACTCATTGTGATGTCACATTCAGCAAGAAGATCTAATGAATCAGCATCATGGATAAGTGTTAGAGATAAGATTAGCAGCATGGCTCAAGGGACGCAGCAATAGCTTCCAGGTATTTTTAAGCACTACATTGTTCACACTGTCCATGATTCTGCCCGCCCTGATCAAATATTTGAAGAGAAAGATGAATCAAGAATGAAGTTGTCTATCATTAAATCCACAAAAAAGATGCAGAAGTTCGGGGGACTACACCCTGGATCAAACCTGCAGAAAGTACAACTAGAGTGGAAATAATATGATGTTGGTGAGCATTCTGACATCCAACTGACATTTTTAAAGGTTTGCAGACACCGAGGTCATAGCCAGATAGAACATAAAGAGAATGGTCCTATCAAATGAAGAAATCAAATACAGTAGTCATGCCATGATTACAATGCACGTCAAAGCTTAAGGTAAGTGTACTGTTAGCTACAAGTTTAACAATGCACTAGGAAATAGGCATACACTGATCACTGTGTCGTGGAAGTTGCCTAGGTTTACATGTGTACAACATGTTACCTTGTAACATGGATATTAAGACATTTGTAAACAAACTTGGACAGATAGTAGTTTAGTTGTTTGCATACTATTTTGTTTAACTGCACATAATAATAATAAATCAAGACTAATATGCTAAAGTTATATACAAAACTGTTTAGTATAATAGTTATTATTTAGTTCATTTAGTCATCTATTTTAAATGATTATCTAGTTGTCATAACAAGAATGCTAAAAGTAATTATTTTAAAGGCAATAGTTGTCACAAATTTTGTTACGTAACTCGGTAAGAGTTGTACGTTGTGTGTGTAGTTCAATTGTTGTAATCTGATGTTACAATGCTCGAACCTCTTGTATTTTTCACGTTGCTTTAAGTGAGTAATATTACATCATAGCATCTCCTAGTTTGTAGAAAGTTTGAGGTCTTAGTTAGGCAAGATATATATATATATAGGTGACCAAGTGAGCACAAGTGAAGTTAAATCAGTAAAACTTTAAAGTTAAACTATGTGATTGTTAATTTAGCAATAATGGGTGATATTTTAAAGTGAGTTTCACAGTTTAACAGAGATAAGGAGAATAATTTGTCTTTCCAAAGAGTGTTCTAAAGTAACTGAACCTTCCTGTGTGGACTTTGAAGAAAAGGAGACACTTGTTTAAAGTTCTGGATACAACTGTGGTAACCCATGGGGTAATATAAATGAATCTATCATAAATTGTGGAGTTAGAAACAGAGTAGAAAAAAAAATCCATCTTGTCAATTGGGTTCTGAAGTAACTGAACTAGACTGTGTGGATTTTTGATGTAAAGGAGAATTACTTAAACTCTATATATAACTGTGGTAACCAATGGAGTAAAATAAATGATAGAAGAGTAGAGAAGAAGAATTTGTCTCATCAATTGGGTTCTAAAGTAACTGAACTGGCCTATGTGGACTTTTGACAAGAAAAGAGAATTATTTAGTTTTATATACAACTGTGTTACCCTATGATGTAAAGAATTTGTGTACATACATTTGACTTGTTTTGAATATATTATTTTAAAACAAGTGGATTGTGTGCTGTCTGTTTATTGTTCAAATTTATAGCCAACAAGTCACAGGTACCTTCCATAAAGAATACAGCGACATAAACCTGACAATCAATAACACAAATGACTTTGATTTACTCATGAAATATTTATCTAGTTTCATACCTTCATTTACGCAAGCCTACACTTTTTAGAGGGAAAAAAAAAGATGGACAAAAACCGTTGATGCCACAATCAAGAATCATGGATTCTCACACTTTAGCTATGTACTACAGTCCATGATTTATGCATGAATTCCCATAGTTAGCAAGCTGTATAATTTATTTGTCCCATAGAAGAAAAGCTATGCACATTTATAGCCTAATTAATTTATGTTCGTAATTTTGCCAAAAGTATTAAACTTCAAGTGATTCACGTGCTCCCTCATGCTTGTTTACAAATTTGCATCCTCTGAGGATCTTACTGCAGTGATAATAGTTACAGCTGAGCGAGAGTATTCCTGAAAAACTTCATACTTGATTAATTCTATGGCAAAACAAGAGGGAATCCTCAATAGCTGTTGCACTTGAAATTCTTTTAGGCAAGATTAGAGTAAATTAATCTATGAGACTTTTTTTTATTAGCTATATTTTTGTGTGCCAGCACACCAAGCATGAAGCGGATGTATACCCGATGTGATTTTATTACTTATCACGATCACTACCAGCCTACCTTCAAACTGAAATTCTTTTAGGCAGGATTGGAGTAAATTAAGCTACGAGACTTTGGGCATGGTCAAATGTTTAACCTCCAAATGTTAAATACAAAACTGTATTTAGATCTCAAATTGGTTAAGAGGTGACAGAGCTATGAGCTAAAACTTTGTACTTGAGAAACTCAGAGCCATTCTATGAGCTGCTATGCCATGGCTAAAAATCTAAGCCACTGGACCAAACAATAATAAAAAATCATTTGCATTTTAAAGGGCATCTATGACATGCCACTTGAAAAAACTCAACTGAAAATATTTCCAGGATAAAAATTTTCAAGATGCCAGCAAAGTGAATACTATCCATAAGGGCATCAGAGAAACTGAAAACAAAGTCTCTGGTGACATTTATGACTTTAGAGGCTTATTTCTCAATTTCAAATCTAATCTGACACACATCCATTCCTAGTGCTACAACAAACATCCAACTATACTTACCCAAAGTATTGTTACAACAGCAGAAATCATGTAATGCTGCTGGCGCATTGGCGCTGTTTGCATTCGTGATGAGTTTCTCGATTGATCAGGGAAGTCCAAGTATGTTTGAGATGCCCTCTTCGTTAGTATACAAGCCTGGCAGAGAAAGCCAGCGGGCATGAATGAAGAGAGACCAGTAGTTACTTTGAGTTCCGTGTAATTTATGATTCTGTTAGTTTTGAGCTAGTGAGCAGTAAAGTGCATGTTTTGCACTCATCGAGAGCGAAGTTATCGAGATTGTGAATTGCTGTGATTTATAGCATGTATTATAAAAGTTCTTAAGTAGAAAGTGACGAGAAATATACTGATTGTGGAACTACTGTGTACTAAAAGTTTGTATCGAGGAAAAATAAACTAGTAATCAAGAAAGGACTTGTATCGCTGAAGATACTCGGAAAAAATTTCTACCGGAAACAAACAAACAAGTAGATACATAACAGTATACATGAAACCTGAAAATTTCTTTATCTTTATTACATGCAAGTTTAGGAAAGTTACATAAGCCCATATCTCTACATCTGCAAAACAAAAGGTATGGACACATACACGAGTCTAGAATCATTGCATATTTACTATTGGCATTTTCATGTCTATGAACTGAATTTACACCTGTCCACATCTATTACATATAAAACCTACACACAAATGTAACTCCAGATTTACTACATACAAAACAGTAGATTTATTATTCAGTAGATATTAATAGATTTATTACAGACAACAACTTGATAAACACTCACACATAAATCTTTGGTTTTACTCCTGACAAAATCTAAACATGAATCTATCAAGGCAATATTGGTAATTATGCATTTTAAGCTATCCTTTTAAGTAGTAATTACACATCTTAAACTATCCTTTAGAACATGAAATTAAAATTATAAAATTTCTAACATACACGAAAATCATGAAAACTTACTCTCAAATGGGCTAAATGATATTCTAGAAGAAGTTTAGCATTCGTAATACTCTCAACAGTTCCCACAAATATAAAAGGAACCTAAAAGGAAAAATAAAAATAAAAATTTTAAACACATTAAAGACAAAGCCTACTAAACTTATTTTAATTATTCATGTATGCATACAACATTCTAATTTACTTTCACATTAATATAAAAACAAAGGATAAAAATAAATTCACATACCAACTGTTCTTCTATACTTTCTCACATATATAGACAATAACTGCAGAGGGTTGGATACTTTATATTAAAATTTTGAATATGTAAATCAACAAGTCACATTACAGCCACAGCTAATATAATGTTGTGGAATGCATAAGAACTACATTTTAACATAGTTTGACATTACATAGGTAGTGTGATCCCACCCAAAACTGGTAATGTTTGGAAGGATATGCAACAGTTCTTTTGTATGTAAAATATTCCTACACTCACATCAGATATTTAGAATTTCTGAGATGGGAATATCCTTTGTAAATAATGGCATTTGAAAAACAAAGAAATACAAATCAACCTTGTGCATCAAGAGCATCAGCAAGAGACTTTGTAAGCTAAGTGCAGAGTCTTGTAACAGGTGAGACTCCATCAATACAAAAGTCAGTGGCAAAAGCTGTTCACATATTTCAGGTAACAGTACACAACAAAATCAATAAGGTTCTCAGTCTAGAAAAGCAACAAAAGTCACGTATACATTGCTCCCAGACATATCCATTTAACTCATTCAGCACGGGCTTGGTCCCTGGGACTGACTTCATAACATGCAAAGTAATTTTCATTTTAAGATTAAAAATACTTTTATGCTTCACAAAATTTTGAAATTTCTCATGAGAAATCTTTATAATGTCAAAATACTTTTCAAACATTTTTTTAAGAAAAAACTTTACATTTTATCTGTTATTTTCAGTAATTAATATCTGTACGGGTTCGGTAGATTTGACCGATCTCACAACCACCATAAAAAATCAGGAAATAAATATAAATTATGCTTCTTTCTTTCTAGAATGAACACAAATTATAACACGAAAACATAAATGTTTAGACTAAATAGCTTAAATTTTGTAACATTATACATTTATATATATATTTATTATTTTTATTATATTGACCTTTCAGCCATGCCCGGCTAACAATACAGAGGCTAAAAAGATGCGACACATGTGCACTTATGTTACCGTATCTAATACCATAAAACTGACCTTTGGTCTCTACAAAATAACTTGTCTTAGCTGTGTTTTATTGAACTAGTATTTTGTAAAATACAGTCACATTTCAATTATCATACATTATATATATATATAGATTATTGCTATTTTCAAATAAGTTCTTAAAACATAGAATAGTAAATAAAGAAGTAAAGCAAACAATTATCTCTTCTAGTTATGACCTTTGTACTTGCTTGCTGCTTGACCTAATTGCTAAGCCTATAAAAATTTTGCACGTGGAGGATACAAAACAAATTTTTTTTAAGGTTTAACATATATATATATATATATATATGTTTGAATAACTAACAAATAATAAATTACATCATCATTACCATACAATTCCACTATAATTTATCAAGCTTAGTAACTAAGATGTATTTTAGTCTTAAAAAATATAAAATTTCAAGCAGACTAGACACACCCTACCTCCTTGGAATATTGGTTTAAAAGAAAGAATATGGCATCCAAGCCCGTTAAAATGACTGAGAAAGCCACAAGAGGGACATTCTGAGCTTCCGATTGGTTATCATGTCATATATAGAAGCGTATATAAGGGAGCATTTCCAAAAATGGAAAGAGGTGGGTGGGTATTTGATTTATTACATGAGCAATATCTTAGCAAATAAAAAAGATAATACATTATTTTATATTCTAGCTTGTCAATATTAGTAATTTGAGTTTTTAATCCATACGAAACTATAGACTTAGTATTTCAACGTCACAAACATCTAATTTGAACCAGTGCTACATTCAACATACCATGTGACACACAACAATTGATGTTTATCTGTGTTTTTTAATATTTACTTTTAAATTAAGAAATGAAGTAATATATACCATTAAAATTTGAATTACAATCTACAGTTTGATACCAAAGTTATTGACAAATTCATGAAATAGTAGTTCAATAAAATTTTGAATGCGAGTCAACAACCGAGATATGGCCTTTCACCCCTAAAACATCTCGAAAGGGTTAACTACTACGTACCCAAACCAGCCTGAGAAATGAAATAGGTATTCATAACAATCACAATGCCAAATGAAATGCATATGGATTTCTATGAAAATGCATTGTTAACAGGAGCACAGGGAAAGTAATTTTCAAAAACAAGATGGCTTATGGAAAGAATTCAGGGAAGAAGGATGTGCTTTAGACATGGCACAACAGAGCTTTCTGTAATGGAAACTGTACTGAAAAGCTATTGTAAAAATGCATAGTCAATAGCCAAAGCATTACCAGGCATGGGGTCATGGACTGCAATGATATGCTAAGGCTCCAAAATTGTTTTAATATAAAGTACTCAACCTCTATATTACTAAATTACATTTGATCAACTTTACATACAATATACAAATCTTTTAAGTGAAAATAGTGATTTCTTGTTGCTTTATGTTCACATAAAAATAGGTATTTATAAAGTTACAAAACATTATAAAGCTCTATATACATACTACTAAAACTTTGATGCTGCTGTGTACATGAGAACTCACCTTGTTGTTTTTGAACACCTAAAATCATGTACCTTATATAGCACATACAGTAAGATATGTTGAATAGAATTGCCATTTATTAACTTTCTCGGTTGATTTTGACTGACCATGTGATCACTTTGTACTTGTTTAAAGTTGTTATAGTTTTGATACTACTAACTTTTAATATAGTATGTATACCTTCATAAAATTTGGCAGACTTTCCGTAAACATCACAAGTCTTTGAAATATGAAAAATAAATTTTTTATAGTGAAGTATTTGTAACAAACTAAAAAAAAAAAATTTGTATGAAGATATTGAGTCTTTTTTTTACTAGTCCAAATGCAAAGTGGTTTTCATGTTGAGATTAAAAATACTTTTCATCTCAAAAATCTCAAATTTCATTTGCGTAATCTCTAAAATCTCCTAAATACATTTGTTTTCAGTAAAACTTTATATTTTCTCTACCCTAACTCTATACAAGGGTAGTTGATTTGTCTGACATCATAACCACAAAATTTTCCAGAATATATTCAAATGAACATAGCACTACATTAATTTATCTAAGGTAGCTTTAAACTAGTAACAGTATACATCTATTTATACATATATTTTATCATTTTAATGCCATTTGATCTGTGTCTAACTCATAATTGCACCATTATAAGTTGTAAATCACTTGGGGAATGTGGAGCTCACGTTACGCTATTGAATCACATTACTCACAAGCTGCTCACGTGCGTGCCTTATGAAACAATTTCATTATATTATTATTATTATCTATTTTACCTAATCTAACTTTAACTAACCTAAAGACATTCCTATTTTTACATTTTAGTTACTTTTATAATAATACAAAAATAATATACATGAAAAACAAGAAATAAAGTACTTATCTGGACCTCCTCCTTTTTTTTTATACTAATGGTAGTAGTGCACTAAATAATTTTTATTTAATTAAATCATGCACCAAAGAACATAGAATAATAACATGTAAAAAGCAGACAATGTTCCATAACAATCACAATTTTTCTGCCTTTCTAACTATGCGGCAAGAGTCATTACAGCTTCATCCAAGCTGGTAGACATGTTTCCTGAGGGAACAAAGCTTATACTAAAAGAGAAATTGATAATACTCTGTTCAGAAAACAACATAATATGTCATTTGATAGATGAAAATCTTGACTTTCTATTGGTTATAAATAATATAGAATTAAAATTAACAGAGAGCTATTAACAAATCCTGAAAGAGAAAATGTGAGAGATGGATGTGGTAAGAGGGGTCTGATTTTCTATTTGATGGATCTGTATCCAAACAAAATTGAAGGCTATAAAATTATGCTTTTTCTGAGTGATGACGATCTTGTAATGAGTAATTTTCATTAAAATTTCATACTTATTGGAGTGGTTGTGAATAAATTAGAGAAGAGGGGATGCCTAGAGTAAAAAAGTCACATTTCTCACACTAGGAGAAATTCAGGAATTTTTTTTTATATTGCCTTATAAAATTAAGAATTTAAAATTTATATAATATTAAAATATGGATTATTAACTACAAATTTACATCCTAATAACTAGTATAATATAAACGAAATGTAGTTTAATTAAGTTTTGAATGTAAGTCACTAAATACCTTGTGACATGTGCAATAAAGGATGATTGTGCAGATAGGGTTAAACAGTAATAATTCATATTTTACCAAGTATTACAGTAACCTTACAAATGTTATACAGTTTGTTATTACATTTATTACCTCTCAAAATAACAATAATTTATTGCAGGTTTACTATTAGAAAAACCATATTTAAATTGCTTAACTTTAGCATGAAAGAAAGAAATTTGTTGAATTTTAATAGATAAATGCTGGCAAGTTTATTATTTGTACTTGTGTATTAAAGTTTTTTTAAATAAAATTTTAATAACATCAAAGAGGAAGCCTGATACTTTTCAGTTGGATACAATAATGTATCAGTTAAATAAGCATTATTAACTACTTAACTCATTATATATATGGGCTGTCATTTGGATTGACCTTATATACACCATGTAAGCACTACAAATATCAATATACTAAATGTTTCTTCATGAAATTTAGCACGTTTTTACTAACAATCAAAATTCCATTGTAAAAAAAAAAAGAACAATTTTTTTAATCACGTATTTTTACTAAATATTTGTCTGCAAATTTAACAAGTCTTTACTGAGACAGTCTGAGTGAAAAGTGATTTTCATGATAATAGTAAAAATACTTCTTTTCTACAGTTTTCTTATTTAATTTGCATAACCTCTAAAGCCTCCTAAATGAACCTCAAAAGTTATTTTTGGTAAAATTTTATACTTTATCTCTTATTTTCTGTACCCT